TCCTTGACTTTCGTTCTGTAAATTTCCTAAAAAGGAAATTTTTAAGAAATCTGTTGTGTACGGGAAAGAGTTTTTTTTTTTGATATATAATTCACATTACAATTACTCAATATATAATTTATATTAGAAAATAGCTTTAAATATCTTAAAAACATCCAAACACAACTTTTCTTTTCCATTAACAGGATATAAGACAAAATGAACCAAATCTATATCACAATAGATGTCTTAGCTCAAACCTAAACAAAAACTAATACTGACAAACAATAATCATGGAAAACTCACATAGCATCACAATAACAATAATGAACAGCCAAATATAAACTCAGCCAACAATCAACATACTGACATTTTCAACAACCTTCCATTTATATCACAAGAACTCAAATTAAATTTAATATGATCAGACTCAGACTTCACAACAGATAGTAACAATAACACACTATTAGGGTTCCAATTGATTTTGGTAAAAACTGATACCAATTTTTCAGTTTCAGTTTTGGTACTAATTTTTATGTAAAAATACCAAACCAAAAATTTCAATACTGTACTGATCAATATTCGTATTTACTAAAATTTATATTTACAGTATATTAAATAAAATTGCAATTTTTATTTTATTATATTATTGAAATAAAACAATATATATAAATATATTTAATGATTTAATTGTAAAATTTATTATTTAAATGGCTAAAAATACTAAAATATTTAATAAGCCATTTCAAAAGCTATATCAAAAGCTATTTTAAAGCCATTTCAAAGCCATTATAAAGCCATTTCAATAATAATATGTTATAAAAACAAAGTATATTATTTCTTTTCATATAAAAAAAACTCTCTTCTGATCATGTCCGTTTTGTTAAAAATTTTTCTTTTATGGTAATTTTAAGTAAGAAAAAATGTTTTACACTCTTTATTGCAAGTAAGCCCCAGCTCAGGAACTCAAGAACCTTCAAGACAACTGGTGCAGTGGGATGGAACCTCTGGTTGAAGTCTATTCAAGTTTGGGAGTCTTGCTTATCCTTCGGTTGCATAAGGAAAGGCCCATGACAGTTCTCTTTTCTTCAGTTCTCTTGTACCCCACCTTACCCTTATTATATTATAAAAATCATCTATATTATCACCATCATACTCGCCAAACCAAATACTTTCCAAAACACATTTACAAACAAAGTTAGTAGGTCTACTGTTGGTTCTAAGTCAACCCACACATACAATATTCTCGTAGCAATATTTGCTGTGCCATTTTCATTTTTCAAAAATTTTCATCGAAAAAACTGAAATTAGTTTACCCTTTTCAGATGATCAGCGCTCCTCAATCATCCAATCAGATTTTGCTTAAAAATCAAAACAAAACTCGAACAAGCTCAAACTGGTTTTGTACCACAATAACGATCACAACAACAACAACAACTAACACATTACCAACAACTATAACAACAAACAACGTCATGTATACTCTATTATCTATGGTAACCGATGAGCCGGAGAGATGGGACAATGAGCCTGTTCGGGGGCTTCCGAGGAGAAATAGTACTTTTTTACTTATAGATTATAGTTTACTTAATGTAGTTCTAGCTATAGTTACCTTCATTTTTCTTTTTAATTTTTTACATTTAAAAAATCAAAAGAATTCACCAAATTTCCTGAGTAGATAGGCATAGCTGCTATTCAGGCACAGCTAGTGTATAGTATTGTTTTGAATTTATTTTTCAATATTAGCTAGATGTGTTCGCATAGGCAGGCTAGCATTTAACTTGCTACACATGTACGTAAGAGATGTTATTTCTTTCACAATATATATCATATTATATAAAATATCAAATAAAGAAATGATGCTTACTTATGAGGGGAAACCCCCCCAAAAAAATAGAAATATTCTAAAAAAAGTTTATAAAGAAGCAATTGCCATAAGTATTTTCTTATACAATCTAAAAAAAGAACAAAAAACTCAAACTTGTTTTTTCTTAACCAGAAAACATATCCTGATGCACCAGTTTATTTCTTTAATTTCCTTGAGATTCTTGTATTGAAGATAAAAGAAGTATAAAGGACTTTTGAATATTGAAAGGTAAAAAAAAATTTTTTTTCTTTAATTTTTAAAAAATTACTATATAAGAAAATTTTCAAGAAATATATTGTATATGAGAAAGAGTATATATTCTTTTATTAAATTTATATTATAATTTATAATGTATTTTAATTAATAAAATTAAAAAAGTGATAAATTTATTATATACAAATCTAAATAAGAAATAATTTATATAAATATTTAAAGAAATTATTAAAATTATAAAACAATTTCCTGTTTTATTTTTGTTTTTGCAATTATAATAATAGTTTAATCTTTAACTTTTATTTATTATTAGATCTTAATATTAAAATATAAAAAATATTTATAAGAATAAAATTAATAATTAAGAAATTTTTTATTTAATAAAAGTTATTAAATAAATAAGAATATGAGATTTGAAATATTCAATAAAAGCAAAAAAAATTATAAGTAATTTTAATTTGTATTTAAACTTAAGTCAAACATTAGAAGTTATAAAATATATAAAGGAATTAGAAAGTTCTATTTGAATATGTATTTGTTAATAAGTTTTTTAAAAGTAAAATATTTTTTAATTTATAAATTTTGCTAAGTGTTTACATGATTCCTAGTGAATTGGCTCTTTTGATGGTGATTCCGGAGCATTAACCACTGTTCTCTAGATCCTTGAATCAAAAAGAATATTTTATATAGAATTGCTATATAATAATGATTAGATTTGATTTTTTTTAAAATAATAATGAAAAATCAATTCCAATTAATAAATTTCTTATTATCTTATTATAAATAATAATTTGAACAATTTTTCTAATAAAAATCTTTTATTTAGATATTGAAGGATAAGGACATGAATATTATAAAAATATCTTAAGTCTAAATTTATTAAGTCCTTATCTGCAAATTGTTCAGAGCATAAAAATGCAATTGATAATGACCTCAAATTTAGATCTTCGCTATAAACTGTTTATCATAAGCCCGTTTTAAGGTTTCAATTACATGCATTGAGGCGCCGTAACTTGATTGCCATCCTGATATTTAAATATTTAAATAATTAAAGATAAAATAAGAAGTAATATATATATCTAATTAATTGCCGTACCATATCCTCCATGGCCGTAATTATGACAAATTAGAATTTTTTTTCCTGTTTGTTCTGATTCTAAACATTAAAAATAATAATATGCATGTAATTTTATACATTTCCACATTTGATTAAATGAAGGTTTCTCACGTGTCCATTCTGTTTCAATCCTGATTCCGTTTTTTCGAACGGGCCGTAAACCTACACCATGTCTTATGATTTTAAGTTTTGTCTCGCCCTTTGGTAATAGGTCTGGACGCGTAGAAATGCATCGTGCAATGATATCATTTGCAATATCTGCATCAGGTGTAATCGAACTAATGAAAGTTTTAAATGTTTAGGTCATCTCGAGATAAATATAGAATTAAGGAATAATTGAATTAATTCTTACTAGTCATGCTGACCCTATGACAATAGCAAAGAAAACTAAAAAGCTGTTCACATAATGATTTTACACAAAAGTTATATGTAATAAAACCTACATAAGTTCCACCAAGTACAACTTCTCCATTGTCTCGCGGTACTACATAGGTGAGTACTTCATTTTTTCCTATTATAATTTTAAATAAGGTAAACCAGTAAATGTTCGTCAAATATTAGAATCAGAAAATACGTACTATGCGTGCCGCCATCTGTCCTTCCGGCTGCATACCGTCCAAATGTCCAATTTACATGTCCAACAGGCAATTGTACTAATATTGTTTGCCCGCTTGCAGAATAGACGTCTTGATCTTGGACGCCCCTCAAACTTTTCGAACCAAGTCCTGAACAATTTATTACAACATCAGTATTGTCAAAAATTGCTTCTTTGATGTGAGACAAAGATGCGCGTTTAGTGGATCCCCCATTAATGCGAAAACATTTCATCAAGTAAATAAGATATTTGGGTGGGCTAATCGTGACTTTAAATTGAAAAGAGAATTTTAATGCAATAAAATTTTAATGGTGTCTTTAAACATTTTTAAAGGTCTGTCGTACTGGTTTTATAAGTGGTTCCGAACTCAACGCCTTTTGGTAACTCTTCCTTTTTCAGGTGACGATACTAATAGTTAAAACGAAATATCAATATAAACATGATTCATATGAAATGCTATTTAAATTATTATTACCCCTGGACATAAATCTTTGAACCATGGTTCCTTCCAATCCGATGGAGGGTGTTTGTCCCAATAGTCAAAACCGTCTACAATCATTATTCCAGTTTCAAATGATTTATTGTGTCCCAGATCCCAAAAGTGAATAAAGGTTTTCCTATCAAAGTCTTTTGAAAAAATAAATGAATTGAAAAAGTTTGAATAAAATATGAGAAAAATATAAAGACACCTTGTTGCCGAGCATCTTCTAACTTTGCATCGCTTCTCCAATGTGCGCCGGCCCTGTCATTTTTTATTTCCAGAATTATGAGACAACAATAAACAAAATCAACAAATTTATTTACAAACCATGGACTAGCGTATTCGCCCCTTAATTCGCCTGGAAAGTTTTTTGCCAGGATTGTAACTTCGTATGCTTCTTGCAGCAAGACGGCAGTCGTTAATCCTGAAACTCCAGCCCCGATAACAGTTGCATATTTCTTTGACATTGAATTCAATTATAAGTTTGTTTTGAGCAGTAAAATGACCTGGTTTTCTCCAACCTATTAAAATTACATACGATCGTTACTATTTTCTATTTATACTGTACATACTATGTTCCATATATATACAGTATATATGATTGACATTAAATGCGTTTTATTAACTTGTGATTTGTAATACAGAACTTTGTAGATACTGTACAGTGTATACTGTATTTTTTACTACTTAAAAGCAAATTATGTTAGTAAACAATTATTTAAAGGACGGCAATGATATTAAATACTGATATAAATAATAGTGAGATTGATTAAAAACGAATATTAAATTGTTATACAACAAATAGTATTTAGAACGGTGTATATCGCAGTAAAGAAGAAATAATAACAATTTTTAAATAAGTAAATTATAAATTTACTTAGTGGTGTGAATATATTGAAAAATTGCCAACATCTATACCTTTTAAATTTCTTATCTATAGCATTGGCATCTATGAAAAGGATAAGATATATTTATTCGTGGTTACTATTTTTCTAATAATAATCTATACATGGACGATTAAACTAAAATTTTAATGGTTCCGAGGTTTATCATCTAGACATATACTAGTTCGTTGGCCCGGGCTATGCTCTGGGAATAAAGAAGTTAAAGTATTTTATATATAAAATGTATTAAATATAAATTTATTTCATTAAATTCTAATAATTTGTATTAATTGTATTATATTACATAAAATTATATAATCATATATAAATCATAACCATCTCTTTTAGAATTATAAATATTATTCTATTTTATAATATAAAATAAATTAAAATATATTGAATTGTAAATTGAATAATAATAATATTATAAAATATATAAATAATAATATTAGCATAAATTATACTTTGAAATAAAAAATACCAAAATATTTTATGTTAAAATAATTAAATTTAAAAAATATAACAATAAATATTATAAATAAATGAGTTTTATAAATATATGTTATTTTTTGTTTAACTTAAATAATAAAAAATATATATTGTAAAAAACATTTATTATATACAAATATCATAAATTGAATATAGACTTTTCTATAAAATTATATAATTAAAATATTAAAATATTATATATTTTGTAATTAATTAAATTAATTTAATTTAATTAAACTCTATATTTTAATTAATTTAATTAAACTTTATATTTTAATTCATTTAATTAAACTCTATATTTAAAATTAAATTAAATGAACTAAATTGAACTCAAAATTAAACTCAATTAAGATCTATATTTTATTAAATTAAATCTTAATAATATAATAATTTAAATGCTATTCTATTAATAAAAACTATTTTAATTACATAATTAAACAATTAATTTAATAATATAATTTAAAAAAAAAACAAAAAATTGATAAATATAAAATTAAAACTTTATATTTTAATTAATTTATTTAAAATAATTTATTTAAAATAATTTATTTAATAATACAATTTAAAGAAAATTTCAGAAAAAAATTATCCAAAAACTAAAAAAAAAAAAACCAATAATCAAATTTAAAAACAAAACTTAGAAGAAATAAATTCAAATCCAAAGAAAATATAATCAAACCTGAAAAAAAACCAAATCTAAAAGAAAAAACCAAAACCAAATTTGAAAAAAAAATAAAATCTAAAAAAAAATCCAACTAAAAAAAATAAATTAAAATCTTAAAATTTCAAATCTAAAAAAACAAACTCAAAATCCAAAAGAAAAAAATTTGAAATCCAAAACAAAAAAATCAAATTTTAAAGAATGAAATCAAAAATAGAAAAAAAGTTAAAATAAAAATTTGAAAAAAAAATCAAATTCAAAATATATATATATAAACTCCAAAAATATAAATTTGAAAAAAAAATTAAAATTTGGAAGAAAAAAACAAAAAAATAAAATTAAAATTCATAAAAAAAATTTAAATATTAAAAAAAATATTATTAAAAATCAAAAAAATCAAAAAATCAAAACTTGAAAAAAAAAACAAAATCTAAAAAAAAAACAGAAATCTGAAAAAAAATATTAAAACTCAAATTAAATTCAAAAAAATTTTGAAATTTGAAATTTGAAACTTATAAAAAAGCTTAAATTTAAATTTATACATATTTTTTTTTTTTAATGTTAAGTGAGGCATTTCTCACAATCTTTATTAATATAGTAAAATGAATTGTTACATGATTAATA